TATATATATACTGACAACATCACGAAACGAACCGATGAGACGCCAACTGAACAGGAGTGAAGGACAAGATAAGACATTTACGTGTTCTTATCCATACAGCAGAAAAACTGTAATTAAGGAGTCAGAAATTCCTTTTTAAAAAAAAAAGAGTATTGTTTCACCGGGAATCTACGCTTCTTTAATGCATCTGCAACTGCTTCTCCAACCGGAATTCAGGCATCTGTAGTGAGCTTGTACACTAAAACTACACTTGGGCTCGACGATCTATACATCACTATTGCGGCCGTAATTGTAACAGTTCCAAGATATATAAGAGTGACCACTGTCAGACAAGCAGCAGCACTCTCAAATTTTCAGTCGAGCACTTTGCAAGACTTGCGATAATTTTTAAATGCCACCTTTTGTAGACGTAATCTAAAAAAATGTGCTCAGAAATAATGCCTAAACTTTTTTTTGAGTCACCGAAGGAAGTTTTTGGCTTAGTTTTAAGTCGAACGCACATTATGCTACTAAAGTATTGGCGTACCACTAAAAATCTTCAAGCATCATAACTTTGTTCTCGTTTAATCAGATATATCAGCTTTTGTTGAATCTTCCCCGGCAACACGTAACAAAGTATTGCCAAATTTTTTGTTCGCAACTAAAAGTAGATTCTGTAATTGCATTGCCATCTGTTACTATCCTCGTCGACATATTTATGACTGGTCTCTTCCATAAAACCAAAAGTGGTCTGAAGGAAAACTCATAGTCAGCGATAATGACATAGACAACTGGCTTCGGCGATCCAGTGCTTTGCAGCTCATTAATAGTTGTATATAATTGTGCATATAGATCTTTGGTTTCTAAACTACTCCTGTGGATACCGCTAAAAACTAAGCACTAAGGGCTGGAGAAAGCTGATATGTTTGTTTAATTGAGAACGAAAGCTGTGGTGTTTGGAGATTTTAGTTTAGTGATACACTAGTGCCTTAGTAGCGTAGCGTGCGTTCAACTTCAACTTAAGCCAAAAACTTTGCCCGGCCATGCAAGAAGAGTTTTGGGATAATTTTTGATCACATTTTCCAAATTACATTGTAAAAAGGTGGCATATAAAAATTACTGCTGACCTCTTATGAAATGCTCGACTGAACATCTACGAGTATTGCTGTTTTTCTGACAGTGGTCACTCTTATGACTTCTAGCGAATTCGTACGCTCACTGTTAGAAACTGTAATTACGAATACCAAAACTTGTATGCAGTCCAAGTTTTTCTTAGTTTGATATATTTTCGCCGAGTATTTTGAATATTGGAAGTGGCTTTTGAAACCTTTGTTGACTTTCAAAAATTTTGTAGTTGACAATCAAGATTTTTTGCTTTACTGTTCTCAATGATCATTGAAAGCTATCTCAGGTTGCAAAAATATGAGTGTATGGACGATAGCAAATACCGTCTATGATAACAAAATGGTTTTTTCCCTTAAAAGATCGTTACTGTGAACCTAGCCATATAAGCTTACGAAAGCAGTCGCTTTGAGGACAACGAACTGCTTAACAGTAGACATATAGCACTGAAATGACTGGAATACTGATGAAGGCTCAGCGTTACTGCTGGTCAGATTACATTTTTTAAATTGCCTTTTTTCCTCCTTTGTGCTCTTACCACTTCTAGGAAAATTTTCGTCTTGGAATTTAATAGCACGTAACTCAAAATACCGAGAGACGACCCCTAGCTAGCTCAGTTAGTTCGGATGCTCATACTTGAAACACTCTAATGGCTGTATAGCCCATCCGGAATGAGCATTCTGAGTGAACGGAAACCGATTCTAAATCATATCCGTATGAAGCTTCGGTTGCGAAAAGTTGGAATTATTCCACCAGACACCCGTTTCATTTTGGCGGATCATCAGCGATAAGCTGCTGGAAGTGAGGAGACCTGTATCTGTTGTTTACTCTGAGCCATGAGTCTACGGCAAGGAATCATATGCAGAAACTATGGGATTGTAACCGAAAGCGAAAGGCGCTACAGAGTATGCCGGAAGGTGGTTTTAGTCGTAGTTTTTATGAGAGTGCGTGGCAGTTGGGGTGAAGTAATTTTATCAGGCTTTTGCTGCTGAGACAGTTCCTCATGTTGTGTTACT